ATTGAGCCATATGTATTAACTCAAGGCAACGGAGGCTTAACAAAGTAATCAAACAAGTTGACATAAATCTAACCAGGGTCCAGGCCAAGGAAAAAGCAGCCACCCAGGATAGTGTTTCACGTTGGCCCCATGCGTTACTTAAGGTGCACAAGATACCTGACTGATTAAATGAGAGAACAACAACAACAACAACAACAACAACAACAACAACAACAACAACAACAACAACAACAACAACAACAACAACAACAACAACAACAACAACAACAACAACAACAACAACAACAACAACAACAACAACAACAACAACAACAACAACAACAACAACAACAACAACAACAACAACAACAACAACAACAACAACAACAACAACAACAACAACAACAACAACAACAACAACAACAACAACAACAACAACAACAACAACAACAACAACAACAACAACAACAACAACAACAACAACAACAACAACAACAACAACAACAACAACAACAACAACAACAACAACAACAACAACAACAACAACAACAACAACAACAACAACAACAACAACAACAACAACAACAACAACAACAACAACAACAACAACAACAACAACAACAACAACAACAACAACAACAACAACAACAACAACAACAACAACAACAACAACAACAACAACAACAACAACAACAACAACAACAACAACAACAACAACAACAACAACAACAACAACAACAACAACAACAACAACAACAACAACAACAACAACAACAACAACAACAACAACAACAACAACAACAACAACAACAACAACAACAACAACAACAACAACAACAACAACAACAACAACAACAACAACAACAACAACAACAACAACAACAACAACAACAACAACAACAACAACAACAACAACAACAACAACAACAACAACAACAACAACAACAACAACAACAACAACAACAACAACAACAACAACAACAACAACAACAACAACAACAACAACAACAACAACAACAACAACAACAACAACAACAACAACAACAACAACAACAACAACAACAACAACAACAACAACAACAACAACAACAACAACAACAACAACAACAACAACAACAACAACAACAACAACAACAACAACAACAACAACAACAACAACAACAACAACAACAACAACAACAACAACAACAACAACAACAACAACAACAACAACAACAACAACAACAACAACAACAACAACAACAACAACAACAACAACAACAACAACAACAACAACAACAACAACAACAACAACAACAACAACAACAACAACAACAACAACAACAACAACAACAACAACAACAACAACAACAACAACAACAACAACAACAACAACAACAACAACAACAACAACAACAACAACAACAACAACAACAACAACAACAACAACAACAACAACATCTATATTCCTTTCATCATTCCTTGTTCCTAAAATCCAAAAGAACATCTAAAAAGGTCCCATGCAAAACCGATTCAAAACTTTGACTTCCCAAAACCGCCTCCCATCTACACAAAAATTCTCACCACCTTCATAAAGGACAAGTTTCCTCCTAACTGACGGTGGTAAAGCCCCGCGGAGTAGGCCGTATCCATGGGAAATCAACTCCGTAAGCCCTGCACTGTCACTGCCCACAAAATCAGATAGGACACCCCGAAATAAATAAATAAATAAATAAATAAATAAATAAATCAATAAATAAATCAATAAATAAAAACATAAAGAAATATATAAATAAATAAGTAAATAAATAAATATATAAATATATAAATTTAAAATAAACTTAATAAATACATAAATAAATAAATCAATTAATAAAAAAATCAATAAACAAATAAATAAATAAACGAATAAATAAATAAATAAATGAATTTCTTAATAAATAACGAAAAAATATTTATTTAAAAAACATAAGTATATTAACAAAAGATAAATAAATAAATAAAATAACAAATAAAAAATAAATGAAAACATGAATAATAATAACAAAATAACTATGTTAATAAATAATTAAATAAGTGGACAAATAAATAAATAAATAAATAAATAATAAATAAATAAATAAATAAATAAATAAATAAATAAATAAATAAATAAATAAATAAATAAATAAATAAATAAATATTTAAATAAATAAATAAATAAATAAATAAATAAATAAATAAATAAATAAATAAATAAATAAATAAATAAATAAATAAATAAATAAATAAATGAATAAATAAATAAATACATAAATAAATTAATTACTTAATAAATGAATTAATAAATAAATAAATAAATAAATAAATAAATAAAAAAAAAAAAATAATCGGATAAGTCATTTGCAAGAGATGATTTGAAAAAAATCAATTTTTAGATAAGCCGTTTGAAAAAGTAAGTTTGAGAAAAATAATCATATTTAAATCAAAAATGAAACCTTGAGTTTTGACCAACTTATAGGCTTGAGTTCATTCAAATCGGAAAAGGTCGAGACAAAAATTTATTGTGCGTGTTGGGCTGGAAATGCTCTGTAGGATAAATAAAGTGAATATTTGCTATTACATTGCAAGGAATGATTATATCGACTAACTGTCTCAAGTAAAAGCATGTTTTTTAACGTTTTAAATAATTCACCTAAATACTGTATGTCCCGGACTCTACAATGCCGCATTTATGGACATTGTAGACAGCTTCAGTCCGGGAGTTAGAAGGTGATATCACTATTGCAGATCCAGCAACCCATTTCAGAATGTCTGGAGAGTCACGTCCATTCCGAGGTTACTTCACTCACAATAAGCCCCGCATGTATGCATCACCGTTATCAAATGGATATTGGTCTTACATACACGCTTTCAGGTTTAAAAATATTAGTTTATTATAGTTTATGTTTTTTAAATTGTAAAATGTATTTGGACTGGTCTCACCATGTTAATTTGTTCCTTCAATCCATGGGCTCCATAATTTTGATTTTCTCTAAGCTTTGCATCTCATTTCGTGATGCACCTTTGTCGTAATACTTCCTTTAACGAACACAAATTTTCTTGCATTGTCATCGTCATCTGGGAGGAGGTTCGCGTATAGTGCTTTCCCCAGTAACAGTTCGCGGCCACCAACTGTCACCCAGTCTTGCGCGTATCCAGCGAGGCATCTTTAATATTGCTCGCGATCTCCGACACCGGCGAGAGACCAGCAGCCGAGCACTTTTTCATGCGGAAAACTTGCTGATTCACGGCAACGTCGGCCACCGAATCACCACAAAAACTCGCGACAGACATATTATCAACACGTTCCCGGGCTAATTCACCAACTGGACTGATCTCTCAATAGAACTACACGTCGAAAGTGTAGCATCCGAACTCGGAGAACCGGGCTCCCGGGAGGCAATGAAAATCGACACCGAACAATGGAACTGAATCTGCGTTGTATATTTTGGAGGTTAGATTCAAGTTCAACCGAGCCACTCAAGGCAAACACAGGAATAAATTTAAAACCAAAATGTGTTAAATTCGCTTACGAAAAATACGCAGCAAAAGAAAAACACGTCAGCTTTTAAGCGCGGCTTACTCAGTCATCACAAAAATGTGTTGTGCGTGTTGGGCTGTAAATGTTCTGTAGGATAAACAAAGTGAATATTTGCTTTAAAAATTGCAAGGTATGATTATATTGCCTTACTGTCTCAAGTAAAAGCATGTACTTTAACATTTTAAATAATTCACTAAAATACTGTATGCTTATAAAATGAAATACATTAAAGTTGTGTACTGAAAATATAAATAAAATATACAAAGCTGCTGTACTCAAATATGGATAGAAGACGACAAACCATATCATCGTAACTTTAAAGTAATTGATCTTCGCTTCATGCTGAGAGGTAGATTCTGTGTCTCCACTTTTCCCAGTCCCTTTTATCAGCACATGAAGTTAATAAAAAAACATATAAAAAATGTGTCAAAATTCTTCAAGAAATATTTAAAGCCACTTACAGACTTTACTTAAAACGTGTAGTTATTATATAGTTTGGCCAAATGGGTTGAGTTGAGCATCTCTAGAATAGAATGATTTGAAAATTAGCAGCGCAGTTTCTGATACACGAATAATGATGTCCATGAGAAAAGAAGCGTTCAATTGTTATCACAGTGCAAGCAAAATTCCAAACTGGCAGTTGATTTGAATAATTCGTCCATATTTCCTTCAACCGCCTAGGTTATCTTCAACCGTCAATGCATGCAAATCATATTTCACTTGGGATCTTCCACCCAAATCCAATCCTTCCCATAAATCACAATCAAATTATTTACGAATTGATGATAAATATCAATATATTAAATCTCCATAAAAAGGGAACGAAAACAGTGGCAAACAACCGGAAAAAATCCCCTTCCTGTCCAAGACACTAAAAAATAAAGACAACCACTTCCACATATCCACATACTCAAGCACGTTCCACTCGGAACAAATCTACCCGGACTAGCCGCCGCAAGACATGTTTATAAATGCCACTTCGATACGGAGTAAAAAAGAAAGCCCAACACAATCCAGACACCCCGTTCGACACCAACGAAAACCAACGAAAGCCAAAGGAAACCCAGACAGTCCCGGGCAATAAAAAAGCGATTTTCCAATATCCTCCCTCCGACGATATGTGTGATGTCGCTCAATTGCCCATTCAGCTCCTAATGCCATCACATAGGAAGGGCATTTCATTCGGTTTCGGTTTCTTCGATTTGATCTTCTGGTTAGGATAAAGCGGGAACCGTCGTTCGGAAGATATTGGACACAGGGGAGGAAGCTCGGAACAGTTGTTTTGGGGTTGGACTCAATATTGTACAAGATTCATCGCTTTCGGGAACTGTGGTTGTATATTTTACGTGTGCACTGAACAACACATGTGAAAAGGGGGAAGTTACATGTTGCGAGGAATTACGACTGATTGATGCTCCTCTGGCGGGTGTATTTGCATTTGAATGTTTCGCAACAGAGATTCGATAGGAAAGGTTTACCTTTAGAATGTAGCACTTGTTTTTATGTAACACACACGCGTTTTTAATTCAAGTAGAAATCCCTATACTTCAAACTGTTGCAATCGTCATCGATGCAGGTGGAACAGGGCTTGGCTCGTCTGCGAAACGCTACACACACGGGCAGATTGGAATAGATGCATCCCTTCACCAGTCGATGGTTTCCTACTTTGATTTTCATGCACGAATATCCCTCGTTGCGCCGCGGTTCCACCAGGTCCTTGTTCAGCCGCTGCAGGTAGCGGAAGTGTTCGTAGGCGTTCTCCTCGGTGCAGGTTATCCGCTTCCCAACGGCATCGCAAGCCTCCTCGTGGAGGTCACTCTTGCAGTATATGCATTTCAGCGAATTCACTGTTAACAGGGGCATATTTTAATCAAAACAATACTCATTTAATCGAATAAGTTTTCACATACCTGATTGAACCAGCGAAACTAGCAGCACAAACCAAAGGGGCATCCAAAGGGATGGCATCCTTGCGTCCACCCTGTCTGGTTGGCGTTCGAACGTTGAATGCAACACAAATCCGACGGCGATGACGACGACGACGACGATGGATTAGTCATTGATCGATAATTGCAATTACGGACAGATGTCACGAGGTCATCGTCGCTGACTATTAAGGACGATATGTAAGGGATAGCGAACAGGTTGCATGCACTTCAAGTTGGCTCATTGGATTTTTATTGATCGTTGTTATTTTGCTGGGAACGAATTAAATAATTTGCTACAATGAAGTGCAAGCAAGGTGCTGCGAGCTGAAAGACAACTGTAGTCCGGCTGACCACAGTAACTATGAAGCTCGCTGTGGTAGAGCGTGGCAGACAGTGTCGGAACCGTTGGGAAAAATTGTATCTCACTGGAATGGAATGATTGAGACATTTTGTCTAGAGAAATGGCAATACAATCGGACGCTGCGGGAATAATAAATTAAATACATCACACTTTTTATATGAACTATGCTTTGATATGATCAATTCCAGTATTCTGGTTTGTAGTTTTTAAATATTCATTAAAATAAACATTAATTTTACGAAATATTATTAAAATTTATTATAAATTTCATAGCGAAATGCTCAAGAGGGGGTTTGATTTTTTTATTGAGGTCCCAAACAACTGTGGTAAATTATAATATTTTTTGTTTTGATCTGGATTTGCGGGAGAATTTTAAAGTTTGTATGGGAAAATGAATAGGAAACGTTACAACACCATTTATTTCCTTCTCAAAAATTCCAGAATAGCTCAATTTCGTCCAAACCACAAAACAACTGTGTCTCAATCGCAAATCGATTAGACTATATAGCAAAAAGTAATAATAATAGGCGCTTGGTTTAAAAATAGGTAAGTAAGTTCTTGTACAGAAGTCGAATCGTTTTGCGATCTTAGGAAAAGTTGATCTGCATAGTTTTTCAAATCTAAGCTTCAGATTTGGACGACGTTGCTGGTTCAACGGGCTCATATTCCTTCACCAACCAGAATTGTAACAACCACAACATCAGAATATTACAGAAGAACCATGTGAAACAGTTGTTTCTTCATCAGGAGGTAGTGCACAATCCGATTTTGGATGGAACCCGCTTCTCCAGTTGGTGACGTCTACACCGAACAGCTGCATTCGTGCGTACAGCAAGAACAGGGTGGAGCTGGCGAAGTCCGAGGATGGCTGGCTATCTTTGGAAGAACTCGTTGATGCGGAAAGTCTATTGTGGCGTCAAGTGTAAGAGGAAGCGTTTCCTCGGGAGTATCAGCTGCTGGATAACGATGGAGAGATCTAATTATTGGTGGACAAAACGAGTCTGAGCATGAGCATGATTGACCGCCCACGGTTGCTACTGTTATTGATAGACCAGCTGTAATTACACAGAGAACCAATAGACGATGCTTGGGACTAGTAATCATCCTCAATGTGTAAAAACTGGTGATCTAAAACTAGGCAATATCAGCGCCGGCCGCGCCCGAACACAGGTCAAGAAAGCAAGGGGTAGGAATGTGTTGACGTGACACTCGCTTTGATGGAAGCCGAGAACACCTCTGCACTTCCACGAGGAATCACTGGGATATTGGGTAATAGGGTTGGGTTTGCAGCAGGGTTCGTCTTGGTAAACGATAAGCTGAATTGATGTCCTAACAATCATATAACGCGAAGAAGCTTGGGATTGAACCCACGATCTTCTGCTCAGTAAGCAAAAACGTTTGCCACTAGGCAGACGAGCTCCTTTTTAATCATCGAGTTGCTGTTATTACCATGTAGTCATGTTAACAAATAAAACGATTGACGAATCTTGAATGTGGATGGGCTTGATGTTCTGCTCAGTAAGCAAAACCGGTTGCTCTAAGGCCACCGAGCCGCTCATATCACATTAAAGGGTGATACGGTCAAAATTTGGTCAGTATCAACTTGACGTATTTCTTTCAATTTTGCATTTAAAAAACCTGAACACCCCTCATTTTGAAGGTGTGTGTGTGTAGAATGTTGCTCCTATTTTGATTTTGGAATTCACTCTTCAGTTGTCAAAATGCCGTCCAAGCAAGAAGAGCAGCGTATCAAAATTTTGCTCGCGCATCGCGAAAATCCAAGCTACTCGTACGCAAAGTTGGCAAAATCGTTAAGAGTTGCCAAATCAACCGTTACAAATGTAATTAAAGTGTTTGGGGAACGTTTGTCGACAGCCAGGAAGTCTGGATCGGGGGGAAATCGAAAACCGGAAGCCGCTGAGACGACAAAGAGAGTTGCCGGTAGTTTCAAGCGAAACCCTAACCTCTCTCTCCGAGATGCCGCAAATAAGCTGGGTGTATCGTCTACAACCGTGCATCGAGCCAAAAAACGAGCCGGACTATCGACTTACAAGAAGGTAGTGACTCCAAATCGCGATGATAAACAAAATACGACGGCCAAAGTGCGATCCCGGAGGCTGTACACGACGATGCTGACGAAGTTTGACTGCGTGGTAATGGACGACGAAACCTACGTCAAAGCCGACTACAAGCAGCTTCCGGGACAGGAGTTTTATACGGCAAAAGGAAGGGGAAAGGTAGCAGATTTTTTCAAGCACATGATACTATCAAAGTTCGCAAAGAAATATCTGGTTTGGCAAGCCATCTGTACCTGTGGCTTGAAAAGCAGCATTTTCATAGCTTCCGGGACTGTCAACCAAGAAATTTACGTGAAAGTGTGTTTGAATAAACGTCTGCTGCCTTTCCTGAAGAAACACGGTTGTTCCGTACTGTTTTGGCCGGATTTGGTATCTTGCCATTACGGTAAAAAGGCCATGGAGTGGTACGCCGCCAACAACGTGCAGGTGGTTCCCAAGGACAAGAACCCTCCCAACACGCCAGAGCTCCGCCCAATTGAGAAATACTGGGCTATTGTCAAGCGGAACCTAAAGAAGACCAAAAAAACTGCTAAGGGCGAGCAGCAGTTCAAGGCAAACTGGCTTTCTGCGGCGAAGAAGGTGGACAAGGTGGCTGTACAAAATCTGATGGCAGGGGTCAAACGTAATGCCCGGCAATTCGGATTTGAAAAAGCGGAAGCCTAACTGAATATTTTTCCTGAATTTTATACTAATTGAACTTGAAAAAGAAATTTAATTTGATTTTTTAAATAAACGATTTCACCGATTTACACGCGTTTTCCCTTGACCAAATTTCGACCGTATCTCCCTTTATAGCGTTACTCAAGTTTTTATAACTATTCAAACCCGGCACCGACGACAACGAAAAGTTTTACAAAATACACGATAAACAAGCGATCTTACCATACATTTTTAATATGAAAGGACCCGGGACCGCGTTTTTCTGCTCAGTAAGCAAGCCACTGCAACCGACGATCTTTGAAATCCTTAAAACCAAAAGCTACGAAAGAGTACTTAGGCCTTCATTAAGATTAAGACTACGACGGCTATTACGACAGCGACTACGACGGCGCCTACGACAACGACAACAGCGAATTTGTAACTTACCATTTGTCTAGGATAAACACCTTTGCCCGGCACCTCCACTGGTTCTTCATGTCCGCTATCTGTCACTGTTTTCAAAATATCTAATAGCAATTACCTTTGTTGTAATACTTCCTGTATTGCCATGGTCATCTGGGATGAGGGTCGCATCTAGTGCTTTCCCTAGGAACCGTTCACGGCCACCAGCTACCGCCCGTCCAGTCTTGGGCGTATCCAGCGAGACATCCTCTAGCTTACTCACAAACTCCGACACTCAATCAAAACAAACTGTACCGAAATCAGAACAGCTAAACTACTCGATAAGTTTTTGGCATTTCTATTTAATTGTATTAAGCTATCTCACAGAGACCAGACGTCCAAGTTCGATCAGAAACTTGTATAAAGTTAAGTGGAAACGTTGCCGTTACGTAGCGCTAGCATCTCCTGATTTCCTCTATAAATTTATCACTTTCGACCAATTTGGCGCTAGTATCGATAAATTATCTGCTGAAAATTGCCACTTGGCGCTACCAGCATTTAGTGTTTAGCGTAAGTTTTGCAACGCCAGTGCCATCATGTTGTCAAAGAGGGTTTTTAAGTGGGGAAGTCGCCGTTAGTGGCGCTTAAGTCAAATAGGAATCTTTACACAAGTTTTTAGAGAAATTTTGGAGCATCAACGTATGTTCTCTGTGGCTATCTTATATCGAGCTCTTTTCAATAATTGCAACATGTGAATAATGCAGAACAAGTTTAAAATTGTTCTAGAGCCAAATTGGTTTTGAAGGGAGGTCAAACTACAAACGAACAGCTCAACCGCTTTGAACCCTATGAAAATTATGCTTTCCCAATATGGTACATTCACTCACTATAAACCTGTCATTTCTAGCCTATCTGAACTATTTAATAAATGGAAGCCATAACATGGGTTACGCTCCTCCTAAGCGGGCCCTCCGCATCCTATCTCTGTCTTATCTCAAATGCCAATTGTTTGAATGTATCAATATATGCATTGGAAATGACGTTCAATCAAATAAACCCATACCCCACTCACTTGGCCAGGCTTCAGAATCGTCCAGTGGGCAGTGCGCTCTACACTCCAAGTTCCCTTTCTTTCAAGTTTACCTCAAATTTTATATTTACCCCTTTGAGTGTTGATTAATCACAATGAAACATTGTGACAGAGCACGGACTTGAGGTTACTAGAGTATTAAATAATCTAGGTCCTATTTAGGATTATATCTGAAAAATCCAAATTTGGCCAACGCCCACCCATTGGTGGACAAAACGAGTCTGCTGTACAAACTGTTGCCGTTCATCGATCAATCGTTCATTCGAATGGGCATGTAGTATTGGGGCTGTTTCATTTGCTCCATACGGCGCTAAGTACCCCATTATCTTACCGAAAATTCATCCGAAAATGTTCCTCTTTACTGACAGCTATCTTCGACGTCTGCTTCACGCTAACAACGAGACGGTCTTCAATTACATGAGACAGTCTCATAATTACAACATGAGACTTGTAGGGCGAGTAGCAGCCGAATTTCAACGATGTAAGAA